AACAGGTAGTGAAACAACAAGCCTGTTATTGGTTCCCTTAATCTGAATCCCTATCCTTATCAAGATTAGAGTTCAGCACTATGCATGCAAGAACAAAAACTTAATCAGAAAGGGGGAATGAGGATGGCAGATATTGTTCTTGTAATTAAGATTCTTGCACATCAATCAAGAGCATATATAAAGCATCTGATCAGTATGAGACTGATTTCGTGAGGCGGTACTCTCGCGCCTGTGAGAAGCTATATGTATGGTCATCTGATTTGTTTATTCAGTTGTTAGACAGTTAACTTCTATAACCATCAGTTTCTGTGGCCCTCCATATCAGTCCTGGCTATGTAGGTGCAGCAAAGCGGGAATAAAAGGATGGCATCCCCCGGCTTCTGCCTGTAATTTCAGGATCCTGACGTTACGGTCAATAACGTTCGAGGTGTTGAAGACACACAACACAACACCCATGGGCATAGATCCCCTGGCACCCAACAGGTTCTGGCTCCAACTTTGACGACACGTTACCGGTAATGATACGAACAAGGTAAAAGTGATCACAGATTTGCCACCACTGGTTCCAGTGTTTGCAAAGGATTTATGGTGACATGAATGTAGGAATAGCCCCAGGAGAGTGCTCAGAGCATGCCAGCTTACAACGTCAAGTTCAGCAGCAATGAATGCAACAACAGATGTGAACCACTTCATGTTGGATCCAGGAGCAAAAAGGCCTCATATAGTCCTTGTGACCACGGCTATTTCCAGACCCAGCTAACTTGCAGGTTCAATGTGGGTCGAAATGCGACAGGATTGATTGAACAGGCATCATGAGTGCACTGGAAATTGTCAATGTTCACACAGAGACTCCTGCCAAGAGCTTGGACATGTCTTAGCCATATTGACGAGGCCGCCCAAGCAGAAATAAGAAGGCACAAGATATAAGATAACTCCATGAGAAATACCACTCTAATGTTAGGCTCAAGCTGTGCATTTCGGACCCCGTGTACTCCAGATTCCTGCCGGACTCGGAATAATCACACCGAGAAAACGAAAATATATGCTCATAGTATATACCTGCTGATAGTAGCTAAATCAGGAAATAATTAAGACCAGTTGAAATATTGACCGATCCCCATAGATTAATATGCCAGAGTGTGGAGCTGATATCTTCCCATTCTTGTTCAACTTTTCTCATTTACTGTGTTTATCTTTGTATCCATCATCCTCTTAATAAAACAAGTTCAATGTAATGGGTAGCAAAGTACCAATTAGGTATGCAAATGAGGTTGCTCAACTAAAACAACTCAAGGCTGACTTTAACAGAGTCCATAAACAGCAGCTTTTATAAGCTTTTACTTCCTCATTCTAACGTTGATCCATTGAGTAGTGGCTGAGTGTGTATAGTTGGGGAGTTGAAAATATGGATTGAAAGTATCCATCTACCTAAACAATTAGACCTTTTCATCTCCATCTTTCACTAGGATAGCTTGTAGATTTCTCTGCTCTAAATTGCCCATATTATCCTGAGACTGTGTGTGGAGGTCAATGGCTTGCCTTGTGCCAATAGACTGCTGTTGACTACCCTGGATATCAGCAATATGAAATGTTGACAATTCTTGCTGAATGCTATCCACAGATTTGCCATATGCCACCCGGGCAATAACCATTGTAGGGGCAAGTCCCTTGAAAAATGATCTGAAATCTAGATAGATATGCAGATGAAAGGGTACTTACTAATATTAAGGTTGAAACAACTGCAGACTGAAAGGGTACAAGACCCACTAAACTGGAACCCCATATTGAGTGATTCAGTATTATAGCGGCCAGCAAAGAACCTGCATATAGCAGTGTTGATTCAATGCTGATTAGCTAGTTAGTATGGAATCTTATAGTCAAGCCAGGCAGATGTACATACATAATTGCCACAATATCATTAAATCTTGACTACGTTGATCGTGTTCCTAGCTTTCGTGCTTGATAAGTAATCCACAAAATTCATCCTCCTTCATCAAATAAAATAGTTTATTTCTTAGTTGTAACCCAAAAAGTAATTAGACTCACTAGTTAAGAGTGACAATACAATCTGAAAAACAGCAATACAGATTACTGTTTTTGGATCAATTGTTTGTGACCTTTGACTAAGAGGTGTATTGTAATGTCTCGAAGAACTGCCTATTCCAATTACCACGACAAGTATACATCCCAAATCAATACCTGCACAGATTCAACCAGCTGAGGCAGAGAGCAAGACTCGGAATGAAACATGTTAGAATTTGAGGTTTGTCTCGCTAACTCAATTGTTAACTGGCTTTAGCTAGAGGCAAACTGATGCCTCAAGCAGGTACTTTTATTTGGCTTTTATACCTACTTAAGTATCTAGAATGTTCTACATGTATCTACAAGTATCAGTAATAAAGTGGAGTAAATTAGTAATAACCTTGGCAAAGAGTATGTACTCTGAGTCATACGGAATACTGTAGAATCCTGTTGAAAGGACTCGCACAGGTGAGCTGCACCGTGCCCGATTTCAACAAAACATAAACACACCATTCAAAATAATTGCAACAAATATCAGTGGATACAAGATTAATTTGTTGGAATTGAATATAATAATAACAGCGATAGATCTGGAAGGGTTCCTCAATTTCACAGCCCTCAAATTGAAATAGTGGCTTACAAGCATTACATCAGCTATTGAGCTGCAATGGAAATCAATAGCCAACTTGAAGTTCCAATAATAGATATTCTAGAAGTACTTCATCATACTGTCGATGATTTGAGTAATTCTACTAGGATGGAAAAGTAGTTGTGAGTAAACGCGATCAGTTAAGTTGGCAATTCCTTACGTCCAGGCAGTTTTTCCATCATCTCCATGACCATACTGGAGATAAGCAGCACAATCAATTCCTGTCGCAGCATTGAAAGCCAGGAAGGTTTGTCGGCAAGTTCCCCAAGCGAAAACGGCAGTATAGATAGTTGACAAGATGAAGAGAACTATAGTGCATGCCTTGTACAAATTGTGGGCAGAACCTTTATGGTGGAAGAGAACACGGATAGCCAATCCAAATACAACGCAGTAGATCCCTATATTTGAAATAGCCATTATATGACTTCCGAGAAATAAACTCCAGAGATACAGGCCATATATAAAAAAAAGGGCCTATAAAACGGTTACTCAGTATGTTGCATCTTTTAATAATCAAATCAAGCATACAAACAGAGAGTGAAGACACTGGATTAGTGGATTATGTCCGCAGAACCCAGAAATGGTGCTGGGATATGTTCACAGTTACTTGGAGAAGACATTGGCTAGATCAACAAGTTGCTAGGAATGAGGCAGGGCGGGAGGAACTTTGATAATGCACTACTGCACGGTTTAGCTGCTTATAAGACTCGCAGTAGCTGTCAAGGTGCTAGCACCCAAACCTATCTTTCATTCAGAATTGATGTACTTCAAACCAACCCCAGGAAAATGACGGACAGAAGTGTCATCAGATACCTCACCCGCCACCCACACAGTGAGACTCGGGTATTCAGGGGCATTTGAGTGTGTTCAATAACGTTATAATCGATCGGTTATGTGCAGACATGTTTCTGCAATCAACGCCACATTCGGTGGTCGTAAATACCAGAAATACAACGTGGAGATAGCAGCTACCATGATGACCAGTCAACATTAAATGACACCATTCAAGCAACGCCGTTGTAGAGGCTTGACAGGCATCTTTGTAGCCCAGTAGACTGGATAACAATGAGAATCGCGTAGAAAAGCTGCCAACAGTGGTGTGAATGTAAATCTGTGTAGAATGCGATGACATGTGGGATTGTTCAGCTAAGCGGATTTTTGTAACCTACGCGAACTTCTTTTATCCATGCGAACTCGATGGGACTATTTTCGAGCTCCGACTCTCACGGGTGGGCGCTACGCGAGCGAGCGAAGCTCGTAATGTGAGGTCGACTTCGCTGATTCGCAGCTTTTGCGCCCAAAGTGAGATCCCATTCAAGGTGGAAATTCAACCTTCATGCAACTGTGCACGGCCATGCAGTGATGAGAGTCAGGGGACGTCCTTGATACGACGACGGCCTGAGTATGTCAGGGTGTTGTTGAGATGATTTTGTTCCGTGGAGTGTAATTGTTGAAGGATTACGTGGCGTCGTGATCATCAAGGTCCTTAGCTATGTTATGAGGTTGGTCGAGTTGGAAGGGCGGCCCGTCAATCACGCCGCTGGATGTTTAGGTGTAGGTGATAGGTCCACCATGGCCTGGGCAACGTTAGGCTAGGATGTAGCATTTGCCTATCAACCAAGGCTACTGTTTTTGGTGCTTGAGTCAAGGGAACCTGTCACATTGACCAGAGTGTATACAAGTTGGGAAACCATCAACCGAGAGTGGTTATGATTGGACTGCAAGCATTGATTCCTTTCTACTTCCAAGTATCATCAAAACCCTCTTCTCTCAGAAGTTCTGGACGCATGGAACCTCGGGATCCATCCCCCTAACGCTCTCAAAACAACCATAATTACAACTCGGTTACGCCACTTTTAAGTCTGCTCTTTCAAAGACGAAGTCGCCAGTATTTTACCACTGGGACGGATTAATCCCCCCGCGGAATCGATACGACGCCGGTCGTCAAGCTAAGGTTCCCAGGAATTATGTGACGGTCCGTGTCTCTGTCTCTTTTCTCCCCCGCCGTCTCACCAATGTCCCACCCTGGTACACAATATTGACATTGATTAACTTCATCAAGATCATAGCGGTTAGGACATATTCTATTAGGGTACAGCGCTTCATAAATAAATTTAAAAGTCAGTGGGGATGATTTATAGCGGTTGGGACATGTCATCAGGGTTCAAAGTTCATGAGGATGATTTATTTACGAAAAGATTGACCTTCCCACGTCCCAGTCAAACAGATGCTTGCGGGAGTCTAGACGTGCAACTCTAGTACGAGTGGAATCGACATCATCTCGGACAGGACGGAGTGGTATCGGGTAAAGCAGGGCAAAAAGGGAATTTTCCAATGCGGGGAATCGAACCCCGGGCTGCTGTGACACTGGGGTCAAATCCAATGAAAGACAGCAATGTTAACCACTACACCACATTGGATTCTTGAATACAATATGGACTCAAGAATTATCTCGCGAATAGAAAGAAAAGGGACCGTGAGGCAACTGTCGCTGGGTGTAGGCGCGCTAAACCGAGATTACAATGGCGAAGGGTGAGAAAAGGGAGAGGAATCCTGGAGAATACGAGGAAGATTGGACACGGGGTCTTCAAATGCGACCGTGTCAAAATATTAAGAAATGGGAAGGAAAACGGGTGAAGTTCAGCGAGAGCTTCATAGAAATAGAATTTTAGAGCAGACTTATTTCTATTCAATACTTCTGGAGAAGCCCAAGGCGCGAGATATCCTTGGAACATGCGAGGATTGAAGTACGAGTATCCCGGCCATCAACAGGAAATGAATATAAAAGGATAAAGAGGTGGACGCCGGCATAACAACTCTCAATTTTCAGACTGTGGATTCCGGCATCCCGTTATCAACCCACAACTTCCAACACCACCGGGAGTACGTTACCCAAACGGTGGCGTTGAACAAGCTCTCCCAAAGAGTGTGTCGGTATGAACAATGAAGACAACGTGCCTCAGCGACTAGTCTCGGTCCCAATCACCCTAAAGGATCAAGTCGTAAAGAGGAAAGGGTGCATGATAAGGATAGGATACTGTGGACGCGTGACACAGATGACCGGTCACTCGGTAAACGACTGGCAAAGTGCCCTGTGACTTACATATTGTCGTGGGCACATGGTGTAGTTGGTTATCACATCCGCTTAGCATATCTTCGTTGTCTAGCTTGCGGGGGGTGCTGGGTTCAATTCCCAGTGTGTCCATAGCATTTAATCTTCTTTTTTTTTGACTCTTTTTCCCCGTGCGATTCGTTCCCCTTGTTAATCATATACGCGTCACCCCGAGGCATACACTCGCCGACTTAGGCCGGGTATTAAAACAGTATTAGCTCGGCGAGTTTGTTTAAGGAATTATGATGATGTATGACCGACGTAGATACAACCGTGTAAGAACGCTCAGCTGACCCATGGATTTGCTCTTTGGTCATTAAATCGCCTGTGGTGCTAGAACAAATGAAAGCACAAACAACAACTGCAATATTTCGTGTGGACTGAATGCTGGATAGCGAGAGGTATGAGCGAGAAACCCTCACTGGCCCAGAGGTGAGCAAGGTGAGCTCGGAAGGGCAAATTTGCAAGTTTGTTGAGGATTCGCAAGAAAAGATTAAGGCTTTGAACTTACAGGCACGTCGTTTACGACTTGGGCGTTGCGGGGTGCCCGTACAAAGACTTCCATTCGTTAGCTCGCACCTCCCATATCAAAAAACTGTGAGTCGAATAACTTGCAACATTTACTAATACTTATTTTGTCAGCCGAGCTGTTTCGGAGGTACGTTGAATGGATAGGCTCAAAAATTCGAGTTCATGCGGTCACCGCGACCTCTGAGATTTTGATCGTTATCATGCAGCACATTGTCACGTAACGTGGATAGAGCAAGCTACTTCTTCTCTCTCTTGTTTATTCAAGGACTGGACTGCAGTTACGTGAAATATAGTGCCGCGGAGGTTCTGTACATTGGCTGGGATCTTATTCTTCGGGGCAGCTAGAATGATTCCGGAGGCATCAGTCAGTCTGGCAAAGGGGGAAGGTTCAGAATTTATGACAGAGCTCCCAGGTTCGAAATTCCGTCGAGTAGGTGACTCGTAAGATGTCAAAAGGCTCAGTGAATTCATGCATTCCTCTTAAGACTTTGAAGGTCCCAACCTTTCACTCAACATTCGAGTACCTGAGCAAATTGAGCAAACTTTAATGGGACATCTGCCACATGTAGTTTTAGGCCTGCCGTCTCCTTCACTGCATCTCATTTTCAATAGGAGACTACATATCCGCCACATAAGCTTTGGAAGAATCCTCATTCCAGACCCTAATCTGAACCCTAAACAGCAGAACGGTTAACTAAGTACTTAACCTAAGCCATTGCTGAAATACCGAAGTGCAGAGATGGAAGCTACTGCCCGTTATCAATTCATCGATAACAGCGATTTTCAAATTTGAATAGAGATATGAGTATCAAGGGGACTGAAGGTAGGGTCCTAATCAGTTCGATCCTCAACAATGCGAGGATATAGTTCTGTTTGAATCTCGAACGATATCTAGAAGGAATTTCATAAGTCACCCCAATGGTCAGTTAATCTCCCGATTCAACGGATATAGTCAAAGCACGAAGTCGGATAGCCAGAAATTTTCCATAACAGAGTGCGCAAAAATCCCGTCGCCGATTGATGTGAGTAGTAGTATGCCCTCCTACGGCAAGCCTACCAACTTGTAACATTTTCTTTCGCACGCCACCATCTGACCGCCCAAGGAACAAAACAACGCTCACAATCGTATCAATTTGTACGTTAAAGGGGAACTTGCATTTGATGTCCCGGATGGGATATCATTCCGGTTCCTGTCCAGACTGCTCGCGCTTCGCAAGCGCATGCCGTGTACGTTCCCTTTCCTACCAGATCGGAAGGACAGAATATCTCAAATACCTCGCCCACTGGTCGCTGGGGGCTCAGCCGAACGACCGAACTGGTAGTCACCATTCCGCTCTTCACACATGAGCACCAATATTCATTCTCTACTCGTACAACCGTGTGGGAGGTCGTTCAATGTCCAGCTCGACGACATATTACAAGCAGAAATCACGTCCTTGTGCGGATTTAGATCCCGCAACAAGCGGCCAAGGAGCATCCTCATGAGCGATAAGAATTGGACGAAGCGTTCTTTGATGGTCTTACATACTTTAGGTGGAACAAAGGGCTAACCCTTCTGAAATCCTTTTTATGAAAGGCGTTCGCTGGGGTCGGAAGATTCGTATGCATAGTATGCCCCTGAGGATTTTAAATTTTACCGGCCGTGCAGCCGTTGAAATTTGTGCGGCTCGCACACAATTTGCCCCTCGCGACCATCTCTCGAACCGATTTAAAATAGGACTCAATCAAATTGCTTTGGAATCCAGGAGACGGACATCATTTGGACTAGCCTATTAGGAGCATTGATAACACCGGTATTTCTATTGCACGCTAAGTATCTCACGTAAGTAGGTATTGCACCCGCTGGGCTCTGAACTTCAGAGTATCGAATTTCACGAAGGTTGTAAATCAGAAGGGAACGAACAGTAAGACAAATTTATCGTCTCTTTGAACGCGGAAAGCGTTTGTGATTATACTCAAGTAATCGATGTTCCATCTACATCTTACTGATTACTCACCGGCGAAAACGGGAAACGTATCATGATGAGACAATTGCCGTGTTGTCCGCTCATCATTGTGCCGATTCAAGCAACACAATCTACTAGACGTATTTCTTCAGACAATTCTGAGCTTCGGTTAAATCTATAGAATGGTGGTAGATGAATTTTCATCGGGATTGGCTTGAGTGGGAGAGCATGGGAACATGCTTGAATTATTGAGCATCCGGTGATGTCGACGCCCGAATCTGAACAGTGTTTCAGGAAGAACGAGTAAAAGACGACTCTATCACTGAGCCGGGAGATTCGGATACTTTGATAGAGTTGCAGGTTTCAGGTCGGCAGGCAGTTGCACAGATGAGGCGACGCTTCCAGTGGATCCCTGTAACGGCAAGTTTCTGGCCACCAGAACGTGTATGGGCTATACATGAATCTCAGAAACTGGACGGATGTCTCGCTGCCCGTAAGTTAGCTCGGAATGCTGGACTCTTCCCCTTCGGCAACCTTCAAAAGATGCCAAGCGTTTGGAAATCCTATGTATTGCCCTTTCGTAACGCTTTCTGGACGTCAGAAAGCGCTCCAGATTTTCGATCATTATAATTCGATCAGATTTCAGTCAATATGAATTCGGTACTGTTTTAGGCAAAAGAACCTTGTCCAGCACATTCCTTCTTCGGTCGGGGTACCATGCTGCAAGCGAGCGCCCAGGATCTCAATCTATGCATACGCGCAGGTTGATAATGATGAATCCATGTGGACCCTCTGATGCTTACCACCTGCTATGGGGGGCCGTTCTGTGCCTGGGGGTTTTCGACAGGCATAAAAGCCCTCGAACATCCGTTGATCACAAAGTTCAGAGAAGATGGCTTCCCTAGGAAGGTCATCTTTATTAGCCACTCTTTTCGTGATTTTCTCATATATTATACACTCTTTTGCTGCTGGTATGTTCCTTCTCTTCGATGCATGTCTGGACCCATGCTCACTCGGTCATAGATTGTAAATTCGCGGTAGTAGGACAACCAGATAGCACCTGGTTGGTTTTCTGAGCAATAGCAACAAATCATTTCGGCTCACATCTTAATAGCTTTGCCATTTATACCCGTGCTGGCATAACAGCAGCACAGTTTCAGTCTTACAATCCTGGATTGGATTGTGGACTTCTTCAACCTGGTGCGTTGATATCAAATTGTTTCTGTCAAACATGTATGCATGCCTTGTTTTAGGTCAACGAGTCTGCATTTCGCCTGGTACCTTGCCTTCCACTGCACCACAGACGTCTCCGAACGGTACATGCTACACTTACTTCACTCAAACCAATGATAACTGCTTCGGTAAGTGCCGTGGTTGAATACTACCACCCTATGATGGGAAAGCTGAAACAGTGTTAAGGTATTGCGACCAAGTTTACCATCACAGTAGATGAGATTGAGGAGTGGAATAAGAATACATGGAAATGGAAGGGTAGGTTTTTTCAGTATGCTCAACAACTGCAATCAATTAATGTTAATTTTTGTGGATGCTGGATAGGTTGCAGTGCTCTTCAAGTAGGTTTTGGAATGTGTGTTTCCCCTGGGGACCCTCCTCCTATTCCGTATGCGGTTTTTTTGATGCTATTGCCTTGAGCCTCTCTAATGGAATGTAGGATCATACCTGGGTTGCAATGTGGACCACAATCTGAGGGAAACAAGACTTGCCCTTTGAACGCATGCTGTAGTGCATTTGGATATTGTGGGCTCACAGATGAGTTCTGCACTACAGAGGTAGTCATCCTTTATCTAGCTATTAAAGGAATGCTCACTTTCACAACTCATTTATAGGGTCCTAATCCATGGTGAACTACTTCAACAACTTGCACATTGCTACCATTTACTGAATGAAAATCTTTGCAGCATCTCAAATTGTGGTCAGCCGGAGCTCCCAAGTTGCTCACCGGGAGGCTCAGGGCAACATCTGGCTTATTATGCTGGCTGGGGTGACCGTCGTGCATGCGGAACAAATGTTGCCCCTTCTCAAGTTGATTGGCAGGGGTATAACACTGTTAATTTCGCATTTGCTACCATCAGCCAAGGGAATGAGATTCAGATCAGTGATCAAGATGCACCCCTTCTGAGGGAGCTTGTTGCTCAGAAACAAACATACCCAACCATGAAAGTGGTCATTGCTCTGGGAGGATGGGCATTCTCGTGAGTTATGTTTTTTGTTCACTCATCCAAGAAAATGAGTTAAAGATATCTGCTTTCAGGGAGGATCAACCAACGCGTGATCTGTTCTCAGTTATGATTTCATCATCTGGGACCAGGGCCACATTTATCAACTCTGTCAAATCATTCATGACGGAATACAAAGTTGATGGAATTGGTATGTTCTTATTTAGCTGTGAGAGGTTGTCAATGTACTCAAGCTTCTTCAAATAGACATTGATTTTGGTGAGAGATTGAAGCATGTCTGTAGGGACACATTGTGACAACAAACAAAGAGTATCCTAGTGCAATTGAACGAGATGCACCACCAACAGATACTCCAAACTTGACTGCATTCTTTGAGGAACTTCGCTCTGCAATTCCATCAGCAGTAGTATCAATTGGT